GGTCTCCGAAACACTTGAGCATACATCGCTGGTATGTAGCTCCCGTGTTTTTCAGACCGAAAGGCATCGTGACATAGCAGAATGACCCGAATAGGATGATGAAAGAAGTCATGAGCTAGTCAGACTCTTTCATGGTGATCTGATGGTCTCGGAGTATGCATCAAGGAAGCAAAGGGTTTTGCACCTCGAGGTCGAGTTGACTACTTGATCTATACGTGTCAAAGGAAAGGGATCCTTTGGACATGCCTTATTGAGACTCATATAGTCAACACACATTCTCCATTTTCTAATCTTTTTTGTACAAGGATGAGATTGGCTAACCACTCGAGATGATACACTTCCTTGATGAATATGGTCGCCAAAAGCTTTGTGATCTCTTCACCGATGGCCCTGCGCTTCTCCTCATCGAAGCGGCGCAGGCGCTGCTTCACCGGCTTAGAGCCCGACCTGATCTTCAAGGCATGCTCGGTGACTTCCCTCGAGATGCTCGGCATGTCCGAGGGTTTCCACACAAAGATGTATCTATTGGCGCAGAGGAAGTCGATGATCACGCTTTTCTATTTGGAGGAAAGCGTGGTGCCGATGCACACCACTTTGCCCTCGAAGCTACTAGGGTCTACGAGGACCTCCTTGACACCCTCTGTGGGCTCAAAGGATCCGGCTGACCGCTTGGAGTCGGGTGCCTCCTCGATAGTCCCTTCCTTGATGATCACGAGCTCCTCGGAGGCGATGATTGTTGAGGCATGCTCGCAGCACTCAACCTCACACTCATAAGCGCATAGGAAGGTGGTGCCGACGGTGATGACCCCATGTGGCCCAGGCATCTTGAGCTTTAGGTAGGTGTAGATGGGGACGGCCATGAACTTCGCGTAGCATGGTCATCCTAGGATGGCGTGGTAGGTCCCGTGGAATCCAACCACCTCAAAGGTAAGGGTCTCCATCCTATAGTTGGTCGGCTCCCCGAAGGTGATGGGCAGGTCAATCTACCCGAGCGATACGGCTTGCTTCCCGGGCACGATGCCGTGGAAAGGTGCCTCGATCGGTCGGATGTGCGCCCGGTCGATGCCCATGGCATCAAGTGTCTCGACTTACATGATGTTGAGGCCGCTGCCTCCATCCATCAGCACCTTGGTGAGGCGCTTCATGATGATGATCAGGTCGACCACGAGCGGATACATCCCCGGCTATGGGATGCTATCCGAGTGGTCAGATCAGGCAAAGGTGATGGCGAACTCCGACCACCGGAGGAAAGACGGCGTGGCCGGTTCGGTCGCGTAGACCGCGTGGCGTGTGATTTTTTGGCGGCGCTTCGAATCATAGGCCGCCATCCCACCGAAGATTATACGGCAGCCATCGGGGGTTAGAAAGCTACCATCCTTCCCCTTGGCGTCATCTGCCACCGGCTCAGGTTTCTTTCATTGGTTCCCCTTATCGGAGCTACCGCATAGGAACCACTTCATAAGGGCGCAGTCCTTGTATGGATGCTTGACGAGGAAGGCGTGGTTCAGACATGGCCCCTTGAGCAGCTTCTCGAAATGGTCGGTAGCATTCTCGGTGGGTGCATAGCCACCTTTTCACTTTGGCAGTGGCCACGAGTGAGCCCCCGTGCTGCTGCTTGTTCTTCTTCTTGTTCGCTGGCGTCCTCGTCCCACCTCGCTTTGCCTTTGGAGAGATCAAAAATTGCTTCGACTGCCTCCTCGCCTAAGGCATGGCTGGTCGCGATGTCGAGGAGCTCCTTAGTGGTCTGAGGGCCTTTACGTCCTAGCTTGTGAACCAAGGACTCACAGGTGGTCCCGGACAGGAAGGCTCCGATGACGTCGGCGTCGGCGACATCAGGCAACTCATTGCATTGCCTAGAGAAGCGTCGGATGTACTCGTGAAGAGTCTCTCCGGACTTCTGTCGGCAATTTTTCAGATCCCAGGGGTTCCTAGGGCGCGTGTAGGTGTCCTAGAAGTTTCCCACAAAGATCTCCTTCAAGTTCGCCCAACTTTGAATACGGTTGGGCGGAAGATGCTCCAGCCATGTTCACACCGAATCAGCTAGGAATAAGGGGAGGTTGCGGATAATGAAGTAATCACTATCCACGCCGCTGGCTTGACAAGCAAGCCGATAGTCTTCGTGCCACAAGGCGTGGTTTGTCTTCCTGGAGTACTTTGGGACGTTGGTCGGCGGTCGATACCGCGGCGGGAAAGTCGCGTTAAGGATGTGCCGATTGAAAGCCTGGGGCCCCGGCAGGTCGGGACTCGGGCTCCGATCTTCACCGCTGTCGTAGCGTCCGCCATGATGAGGATGGTAGCCATGACCGGCCTCCTCTCTCTTGTCACCCTGTCCGCGCCTGCGGGCGTCTAGGGTGTTGCGTGTGTCACGGTTGGGGCCGAGACGCTCATGCACCAGGACCATGGCAAGTCCCCCGCAGTCGCATGGCGCTTGGTGGATGGACACGTCCTGGCCATGTCGTCCCGAAGACACGCATTGAATGGCATCGAGCTCGCATCGCTGAGACAGCGAGCTTTCTACCTGTTGCATCGCTGCTCGCTTGAGTAGCGTGTGGATCTCACGGTGGGCCCGACGGTCTTCGAGTGTCGTGGGCTCTGGGAGCCTTCGAGTAGGACTGCCGCGGCAGCTATGTTCTGATTTGCCTGGGTGAAGTGTGGGAGGCCTTCGTCTTCCTCGACGATCCTCCTGTTTACGTTGCGGGCGATGGCGCATGTGCGGCCACCATCCCCGCGATGCTCGATCTCATGTTCGAGCTCCATGCGCTCCTGCTCCAGCTGGAGGTGCGCATCTTCGAGCTCCTGATGCCGCGCCCTTAGCTGTTCCACCTACATGCGGGGAAGGGCCCCCGTATCTTCTTCGACTTCATTGTCGAAATTGTTTGATGGGGTAGCCCCTCCCTCATGGACGCTTTCGGTGCGTTCTTCGGGGGTACCTACCATAAAACATTCTCGTGAGGGGTGATGGCTCCCCCTACTGGAGTCAGAGTCGGAGATCGACTCTGAATCTCCCACGAGATGGTCGTGGAAAGACTCCGCGACGTAATCGGCCATTCCCATGAATTCGTCATCCGTGGGAGGTGGGTACATGCGCTGTGCCGCGAGGTGACCAATGGTCCTGGCATTGCGCAGATCGAATAGGAACGCTATCGGGGCATCCCGGGTGAGATATTCCGGGGAGAGTGGCTCTCCTCCGGCAAGTTGTGTCATGACATTGGCGAAGGAGAAGGTGAGGCAGCGTACATCCTCTCGGGACGGTCGGGGTCCTAGGAAGGCATCGAGCTGACGCTCCAGCCTCCCATAATCGAAGTCGAGGAGCTGATCGCTCCCGGGGACACGTGCCTCCGATGTGTGTAGCTGTAGCTTCTCGAGGGCTTCGACGGTTGCGTCGAGGCCGGTGGAGCGAAGAAGTTGGACGGGGGCAGGAGCCCGCACTAGCTCTCCCTCTACGGTGATGATGAAGTCTAGGCTCTCGAAGCGCACGTGCGCGCCCGGGACCCAGCTGACGCTGTGGCTAACCATCCGTGGCCTATTGTGGACGACGAGACGTGCAAAAGGCTCCTACCTGACGCGCCAACTGTCGGTGTTTCGAATTACTGGTTAGTAAATTTCTAGTTTGCGTGTTTGACCCGGATGGCCATGCTTAGAGGACACAAGGATTTATACTGATTCGGACGGAACGTCCCTACGTCCAGTCTGTTGCTGCTCGTGTTACCAGCACTTAGTTTGTAGTAGGGGTTACAAATAGGCGAGAGAGGGAGAAGGTCCCAAGTCTCTGATGAAAATAGTGAGTCTGGTTGAGCTCTTTGTCTACTGTCGAGTGCCTAAGCCTCCAGCCGCTCAGACGTGTTAGATGTGTGTGAATGCCCCCCTCCTTAGGGTGTCCTGCTTCCCCTTTTATAGATGAGGGGGGAAGATGCATGTTACATCAGAGAGAGAGAGAGAGAGAGACGAGGAGAGGAAGGCTTCCGGGATTGCAATGTAGATGACGACCCTGTAGATGACGACGGGGATGGCTCCACGTCGCGGTCCTATTCGTCACTGGCGCCGTACGCGGACGTGTTAGCCGGTCGTGGCGCTCCATCCCGTCCCAGCGGACGGTATGGCTCGCTGACGTCTCCGCTGGAGGTCGTATGGGTAGTAGGTAGCACAGCGCCGGCACGTCCGATGCTGTTGGCGACGCGGGTCCCATTGTGGCCGCGGGTCACGTCAAGACACGCCTGCTCCCCTTCTAGCGTCAGAAGTTTGACCCTGGACTCGTACTTTTAGACCCGCAGTGGTTGGGGGCGATATGGACCTTGGGGTCGGGCGAGGTGGAGCCCGCGCCCTCGGGATCGGGCGAGGTGGAACCCACGTTCTTGGGATCGGGCGAGGCGGAGTCCGCGTCCTCGGGGTCGGACGTGACGGGGCTCTCGCCCGAGTGGTCGGGTGTGACGGGTTTCTCGCCCGAGGGGTCGAGCGAGACGGAGCCCGCATTCCCGTATCCTTGAGGTCGGGCGAGACAGAGCCCGTGCCCTCGGGGCCGGCGCGAGACCAAGATACACTCTTGACCATCCAAAGGAGTTAGCGTTCATGGCCATTAGCTTCCTTCTTCCGGATACCCCTGATACTGATACCCGACATCCCTTTTCTCATTTTCTACGAATATTTCATATCTTATTTTCTCGCAACATAATGGATATACTGTATTTGCTAGTAGATGGACACGGATGAAAGTAGAGATGGAGAGAGATACACATGAAACTCTTCTCGGGGTTCTTTAGAAGGAAGACACGTGGCACCTGGTCAAAACTTCGAGTCGAGGCAACCCTCAAGCGAAAACGTCGGAGCGCACAAAAACCAAACAACTCCTCGACTGGCACGAATGGCCGTCGGCTCGTGTGCAGCGTGCACGATCGAACACACCCCGTTGGGCACGGCCACGCATCCTCGCGAGTAATTGGCGTCTCTTCAACAATCGACCGCGCCCAGGGCCCCCGCCGCCTAGGGTTTCCGGCGTGGATGCCATGGAGAACCTCATCTCTCTCGTCAACAAGCTTCAGCGCGCGTGTACCGCCCTCGGTGACCACGGCGAACATAGCGCGCTCCCCACACTATGGGACTCGCTACCGACTATCGCCGTCGTCGGTGGACAGGTGACAAGCACGCGATCTCGCATTTGCCTTTTCTTTTCCTTTTCCTCTTTTTTTGTTCACTGTTCTTCGACGCGATTTTTTTTTTCTGAACAGGCGATGCTTGGGTTTTGGCTATATATGTGGTGTGGAACCGTAGTTTTTTGTGATGCCCGCTTAGTAGTTTATACTAGTTTAACCCACATTTATGAGGATAGTTCAACTTCATACTTTCATCATAGTTGTTCCGAATTTCAAAATTTTGGAATTTAACTACCAAAGTGGGTTTTGACATGCCAACTTCCATCGTTTGCTGTTACGTGTGACAGAGTTCGGGCAAATCCTCGGTGTTGGAGAGTGTCGTTGGGAAGGATTTCCTACCTCGGGGTTCAGGTACAGTGATTTCACGGTTACAATCTTCCCAAAAACCTTAGCACTATAAAGCCCTTCTGTCCAATTTTGTGACGCTGGAATTCTTCAGGAATTATTACGAGGCGTCCCCTGGTTCTGCAACTCCACAGGATTGATGGGGCAGGAGAATATGCAGAGTTCATGCACCTTAAGAATAAAAAATTCACAGATTTTGGTAAATCCTATACTCAATTAGTCAATTATTGCTTGGGTATGTTTGATCATCTGAACTTAATGACCAATTCGTATATAAATAATGCAACTGCAATACGGAACAACATTGAATGATAAGGTCTAAATGTAAATTGCTCATGGCACTCTGTGGCCTCAAATATTTTTTTTTCTCACGAGGTGAGGTAATGCTGCAGGGTTACGTTTGCTCACTCATGTTGCTGTACTACTTTAATGGTTTTATTTATTTTGTTTCCTTAACTGTGGATTGAATTGTATATTTCATGAGAGAAGTGAATGTTTTAGTGGCTCAGTTGTCTGTTTAATTTCTATTCTGTCTTAGTTATGTATGCATGGTGAGTGGTAACAGTGATAAAATTTAAAAGCTCATAACTGATACACTCACGCTTTTACAGCCCTAGTGAGGAAGGAGATTGCAGATGAAACTGACCGAGAAACTGGCCGCACAAAGCAAATATCAACTGTGCCCATTTACTTGAGCATATATTCCCCAAATGGTAAGACCACAATCCTGGCAATGTGTTGGCTGAGTTTATACTCTTTGCCATTATTGCTTTACCACATCTCCATTGTTCAGCTTTGGTTTTGTGGGGTTTGGGATTGGGTTGTTTTAATCCTAAGCTTGATTGTTTGAACTTTTCCGAGTTAGCCAGTGGAGCATAATTGTACTTAGCAAAACCTTCATTATGAACATGGCTTTCATTCCTATTAAAAGCTACCTTTCCAGCATCCCTTCTTGAGACTAGTTCAACTGGCTCAGACTACAATACTATTATAACCCCTATTTTTGGGATATTTCCAATGGAATGTATGTATTTTGTCTCTGAAATTTATATATATATAGAAAACCGCGTTTTCGAGATTTTTTTTTTTGGAAAACCATAAAAAAAAGCAAAATAGTGCTGGGAAAATCCTGTATAGATGCTGACGTTGATCTTTTGCTGTAATAAACCTGTGTGCAGGATTGCTGATGGCTATAAAATCCTACACCCCTGTTGTTTATATTTTCGTTATATTTGATGAGATTCTGCCTTTACCTCCCTTTTTCTTCTAAATATTTTTACCCATTGCAGTTGTTAACCTTACTCTTATTGATCTCCCTGGGCTTACTAAGGTAGCTGTTGGTAAGTCATTCTAAATGTTGAGATATAGTCTCCTTTATTCCTGTTGCAGTAGTTTGTGTTACTAACTTTTGGAGTTATATGTTCTGATAATAGAGGGACAACCTGATAGTATCGTGCATGAAATTGAAAACATGGTTCGCTCGTTCATTGAGAAGGTACTTTATAATAACCCATGCACATTCTTTTCCTTATTATTGATGACCACAACTTCTACTTTCAACTGAATTAAGTGGTGACTGGTAATCACACACAAACTGAGAATTTTGTCCAGCATATTAATCCAGTTTTCCCTCTATATTTTAGCATGCACCAGTTTACATTTACAGTGATCTTTGTGTTCTGCTATGCTCTTTGCTATTTTGTAAAGGTTATGCTTGAACTGTCTTTTATGTGCAAGTACCTATGCAGAAATGTTATGCATAACAACGTTTCTGTATTTTTTTCTAGCCCAAATGCATCATTCTTGCAATTTCTCCAGCCAATCAGGATCTTGCAACATCTGATGCAATAAAGATTTCACGTGAAGTTGACCCAAAAGGTATAATACAGCTAGAAACTTAATGAAGAATGTGATGAGCAGTGTGGTTTTCAAGTATCTTCAAAGATAATGTGATTTCAGATTATGTCTGTATTCTTCAATTGATGTGTAAAAAATTCATGTAATTTGATAAATTAATTTCATAGACCTAAATAGACTAACGTAAAAAGAACCATCTGATTTTTTTTATTGAATACTAATTTGGTGAATTTAATTAGGTGAAAGGACCTTTGGTGTGCTTACAAAAATTGACTTAATGGACAAGGGCACGGATGCAGTTGATGTAAGTTCATATTTATATTTATATTACTCAAATGTTTAGGTTGTTTCACTACTCTGTGATGTGTGATTCTGTCCCAAAAATATTAACCTAGCAAGAATGATATGCGCTGACCTATTACTATTAGTCAAAGCTTCTTATCAAGGCAGCGAACCACTAACTGTAATTTATCTTATAACATGTAACACCTCGGGTGTTAGCCTTGCATAACTTGACTTGCATAACATGAGCATGATCATCAAGCATTCATAAACAAGCATTTACCATTGAAACATTGGATTGAAACATCTGCAACGTTTGCTTGTTATCGCATGTTTCTTAAACATATGCAACTTTTCTCGTTATTTCATGTCTCCATGTATCTATGCATATGATCATGAGTGTACACATGTACTTGGTGGATGTGAGTCACACAAACATGTAGCAACACCTAGGTTAGCAAATAGGACTTAGTTCATGGTCACATTTCATGAACCAACACTTCAGCTTTCATGTGATTACACTAACTAGCTCTATGAGTGACTACTACATGAAATGATTGAATGACCTTGCAAATTGCTTAAACATGTTTAGAGTATCATTATGAACAACTTGGATATTCATGGTTAGGGGTAAATAAGTCATTAAGCCATGCTTTGATGTGTATCATCATTTAAAAGTGACATGTTTGACTAAATTTGAACTAGGTGTTAGAGACCTTGCATGGAGGAGATCACTAAAGCAAAGTTGTAGTATTTGACATAAGGAACAACTTTTATTTTTGGGTCATTGACTGATTTAGCTCCTAACATGCTTGAATTGAGATCACAAGAATTAGCAAAACCAACTTTTCAACACTTAACAAAATTTATTTGAGTCTTGTTCACTGACAGACTGACAACCGATATTTGGGATGATTTTACTCCGTTCCTGTTGCGAATTAGCACGAGGTCTTTGAACAATAGTTGTAGATGGTACATTGAGCTACAATTTTGGTTTAGACGGTGTGAGCTAATACTCCACGGATTAAGGGTTTGATCGACGTAAAAACCCGCTGTCAGGCTCGGCTTCGTGGTAGACTGACGAACTGAACCAGCGCTCGGTGGCCGACCGGCGCCAGAACACAAACGCCGCGTGGACGCGATGAAGGCCGCGCGTCGCCGCTGCTCTGATCCGCCGGGCAGCGCCAGGCCTGAGCAGGCCATTATCACCCCGCGTGCGCCCACTCCATTTCCACTCACTCCCGCCAGCTCTCTCCCTCTCCAGCGCCCTCCCTTGCTCTCGCCGCGGAACCAGGCAACGCCGCCGAGCACAGCACCGCCTCCGCCGTCGCCTCGCGTGCGCTACACCGCATCACCGCCATCTCCATCTCGCCAGTCGTTGCGCCTCATCCACCTCCACCGCCTTGACGTGTTGGTTGCTTCAGCTGCGCCTTGGTGAGGGCGTATTTCCTTTTTTTCCCTCTCGCCGGAACCTCGGCCACCATAGCCACCTCCACGGAAAGCTCGCCACAGCTCGGCTCGTTTGCGCTTTTCTTTCGATTTTGAGCGTTAGCGTTTGGTCAGGACGTGTATTAGCCGGTGCTAGGACGTTACCTTCGTTAGTGGTCCCGCCGGCGTGGAACGCGACAACCCGCGCCGCCGCGTTATAACCTCCGCACCACCGCGCCGTGGTCAAGCGTCGTCGGAGCTTTGCGTGAAGCGTTTGTTGCTGAAATAGAGTCACTAGGACACCGTTGTACTGTTGCGCGCCTCTCCTAGCTTTCCCATGGCCGGAGACGGCCGGCACAGAGTTGAGCAGCGCCGCCGTGCCGCCATGGCCGGCGACGAGCATGCTCCGCCGCACTAGCACTGTCACCACCTAGACCATCCGACGCATCTTGAGTAGTAGGTCACGATGGTGTCCGTGGTTTCGCCGGAGAACTCACCGGCGACGAGCCGTAGCCGCGCAGCGTCGTGCAGCTCCGCCTGCTCTGTCTCGTCTCAATGACGCGTGGGGTCCCCTGTCTGACAGGTCCCACCGGTCAGCGACTCCATGTATTAAAGATAGTTCATTTTGAATGCAGATTTCATATGTTTTGTGAATTTTAGATCTCCAGTTTGGTAGCTTCAAAAATTGTGCAATAAATTGTGTAGTGTTCCTTAGAAAGTGAAGTATTTAAGAAAAATATATTCTTGACATGTACAGTAGAAAATTTTGGAGATTTAAATAGAGATTTGAAAGGTGTTTTTGAATGCATGCAAATTTGTTTATTTTATACCTAGAGTTCCTGAGCTCCAAAAATTATGAAATTTTTGTGGTAAGCTATTCTTGTCATGTATGAACTCTGGTAAAAATTTGAGGATCAGTGCATGTGTAGATTTGTAGTTATAGATTTTTCTTTTATAATTAGGAGATCCTTGTGTGAATTTTTATAAATTAATTAGGAATCCAATATTCATGAAATTTGTTGGAGGTTATCCTATTAGTATATGGATGCTAAGAAAAATAAGAAATCTGTTGCTTGACACTTTTCAATAGGGTTTTCTATTTATGCTATTTCAAGCCTTGTTGCCTTGTCATTTTTGTATAGGATGTTCTACTTGGTAAAATGGCATGAATTTTTTATAGTAGTCTATTGGTGGCACTAGTAAGCCACTGTAATTTTCTGAGAAATTATGATGCACATCTGGTATGTATTTATTATTTAACCTAAATATCCAAATAAAATAATACAGGCATTTAAATAAATAGTTTGAGCTTCACCATTATGTTTTCTTGGATGTATTTGGTATGCTTAAACTGTTGGTAGACTTTTGGTTGTAAAAATTTGAATACTTATATGAAGTAGAAGTATTGTTACTTTATAATGCGAATTGGAATAGTTTCCGGACAGATTCTAGAGTTTGCTAAGTTGCATGATAGGGATGATGTTTGCTGTAAAAATGATTAATAACAAAGTTGTAGAGAATTTGATAAGCTTTACAGAAAGTCCAGGATCACTGCATTTGGATTAGTAGAACTCCTGTTATGAGTAAAACAAGTAGCTGCTGTTTTGTGATATAGTAGATGCATTGTGGAAGTAGTAATTAAATAATCGAGAAGAGATATGCACCTACTCAATAAACATGATGCACTTGTTAACATATATGCATTCGTAATACTTATGCCATATTCATGCATCTAGGATCGGAGGAAGAAATAACGTTGCTGAAATTCGACGAAACAGAGGAAGGGGACCAGACGGAGAATCCTCAAGTCGCAGCTCCGAAGGCGAGGGAGCGAATCTGAAGAGCTTCCGGAGTGTCCTGATCACCGCCTACTACTTCCTTTCTCATGAGGCAAGCTCCGGAGCATTCTAAGTCTTCCAGTATTTTACAAATGATTACTTAAGTACTTATGATTGATGCATTAGTTTATAAGAGTTGAATGGAACCACTTGATGCATATACATTCCTTGTCCAAATTATTACACCTTTAACCGGTATAGGTCCGAGGATCGAATATATGTTTAGCCATGCTTAGACCGGTAAAAAGTCGGGTGATTTCCTGTCACCTGCGAGATATAGGTGGATACCGAGAGCACGGTTGGTTATAATTACTATCGTGGAAAAGAACCATGGTTAATGTAAATGGAGACCGGGCGGGATGTCGATAGAGAAGCAACAAGACATGGAGGTCTTGGGTGTGGATCTATCCCGTCAGTGTCGATTAAGGACCGTCACTGTTGTTGGCGCTTGACAAGATTGAACGCATGCCTCTCACTTAGCTGGCCGGATAACTCGTTCCGACCGCTGGTTTAGTAATTCAACGCAGTCGGGACCCGTTCATTGTGCGCTCCCTACCGGGAACGATCGACCGAGCCCAAGGGCGAGCTAGGCACGAACGTCCCGCATCTGGTGTTCCAGACAGCGGCGTGATACGGACCCGTGAAATGTGTACCTAAGTTGTATCAAAGGTGACCTAAGGCTATCGTGGGTGGTAGACCTGGGTTTGTGTTAGGAATAAATTCCCAGCTGGTTGAAATCGATTCGAATCGTCGTCTCTCCCGGATAGTGAGAAACTTGGCTAGTCCTAACATCGTAGTAACTGTGTTATGGAACATGATGGTTCGAATGAATATGGAATTACAATATCTGTTATGGTTACTATTGTATGCTTTTAAATGGATATACCACATGTTTGGCACAGGATAGTTGCTAATCTAGAGATGGATAGTTATAAATAATTGATAAAGGAATCCTAATTGTACAATAAGTCAATTGCTTTTATGCAAAATGTTGTCAAGCTATCTCTCCCCAGAAAAAAAAAAAAAAAAAAAAAAAAAAAAAAAAAAAAAAAAAAAAAAAAAAAAAAAAAAAAAAAAAAAAAAAAAAAAAAAAAAAAAAAAAAAAAAAAAAAAAAAAAAAAAAAAAAAAAAAAAAAAAAAAAAAAAAAAAAAAAAAAAAAAAAAAAAAAAAAAAAAAAAAAAAAAAAAAAAAAAAAAAAAAAAAAAAAAAAAAAAAAAAAAAAAAAAAAAAAAAAAAAAAAAAAAAAAAAAAAAAAAAAAAAAAAAAAAAAAAAAAAAAAAAAAAAAAAAAAAAAAAAAAAAAAAAAAAAAAAAAAAAAAAAAAAAAAAAAAAAAAAAAAAAAAAAAAAAAAAAAAAAAAAAAAAAAAAAAAAAAAAAAAAAAAAAAAAAAAAAAAAAAAAAAAAAAAAAAAAAAAAAAAAAAAAAAAAAAAAAAAAAAAAAAAAAAAAAAAAAAAAAAAAAAAAAAAAAAAAAAAAAAAAAAAAAAAAAAAAAAAAAAAAAAAAAAAAAAAAAAAAAAAAAAAAAAAAAAAAAAAAAAAAAAAAAAAAAAAAAAAAAAAAAAAAAAAAAAAAAAAAAAAAAAAAAAAAAAAAAAAAAAAAAAAAAAAAAAAAAAAAAAAAAAAAAAAAAAAAAAAAAAAAAAAAAAAAAAAAAAAAAAAAAAAAAAAAAAAAAAAAAAAAAAAAAAAAAAAAAAAAAAAAAAAAAAAAAAAAAAAAAAAAAAAAAAAAAAAAAAAAAAAAAAAAAAAAAAAAAAAAAAAAAAAAAAAAAAAAAAAAAAAAAAAAAAAAAAAAAAAAAAAAAAAAAAAAAAAAAAAAAAAAAAAAAAAAAAAAAAAAAAAAAAAAAAAAAAAAAAAAAAAAAAAAAAAAAAAAAAAAAAAAAAAAAAAAAAAAAAAAAAAAAAAAAAAAAAAAAAAAAAAAAAAAAAAAAAAAAAAAAAAAAAAAAAAAAAAAACACTTATACAGCCTTGCATAATCCTTGGAGTCATTTTATTTCTGGTTTATGGCGGGTAAGTCTAGCTGAGTACCTTCTCGTACTCAGGGTTTTATTTTCCCATGTTGCAGATGGCACTGTGTATCATGGTTATTGCAAGAGTTGCTTCTATCCCATTGTGGATGGGGAGTAAGCCTTGGGCAGGCTTCTTATTAATCCTTCTACATGCTTTTGTGGACCGTGATCGTATTTCGCAAACACTGTATTAAACTATGTTGGAAACTTTACTTTCAAACTTAATTTGCTTCCGCTTTTATCTATCAAACTCGGTTTGTAATAATTTTTATTCGTACTCACGATGGAGAAATGTATCTGTGAACTTTATGTAATATGTGGCATGTATGTTGAATCATGTACGATCTTGGTTGTTGTAAATCGTTTATCGAGACCCGTCGTGGTACTCGACGGACTACTGGTTTATATGGGTTCAAGTATGACGGTCGACCGCTTATGAGCTGTCATTGTACTTGTACTCTTATAAATTGGTCGGTTCTGCGACATAACATATGTGTCCTGATTTTAATTGAGTTGTGCTTTGTAGATACTAGAAGGAAGGTCATATCGACTACAATTTCCATGGATTGGTGTTGTCAATCGTTCCCAACAAGATATAAACAAGAACGTAGACATGATCGCTGCTAGGATTAGAGAGTGTGAATATTTTGCAAGTCTACCAGAATATAAACACCTTGCTCACAGAATGGGATCAGAGCACTTAGCAAAGATGCTTTCAAAGGTATGTCACATGATTTATTTGCCATGTCTGGATATGTGCAATCCTATTGAATTATTTGTCTTGATGACCTCATGATTATTTACTAGCCATCATCCTGCAGCATTGGGAATCTGTGATTAAATCAAGAATTCCAGGGATCCAGTCTCTAATAACCAAGGCCACTGCAGAGCTAGAAAGTGAATTTTGTCGTCTTGGAAAACCCATTGCTTCAGATGCTGGAGTAAGATTTCTGCATGTTATCAGTCTTTGAATAGATGCCACTTCATCTTATTGATCTACGTATGTGATGTTTATCCTTTAAAACTTATTTAGCCCCCAAAGTTAGTTTTTCCCATTCAGGGTGTACATGAGTCTTTTACTAATTACTATGATATTATGATTTGTTTATGCCAGCTAGACTTAGCTTATATGCTGATATGCATTTGTCATGTCCATTCAGATGGCACGCACCACCCTGTAACTGTAACACATTTATGGTTTTCTTGTTTCATAGTTCTAGCATAATCACTAGCCACTATTACATGCACAACAACTGTTCTGCAGCTAGTATTTCAGGTCGCCTATAAGTATATTGATTACACTTCTTCCTGATATGCAGGGAAAGCTGTACACTATTATGGAAATATGCCGCATGTTTGACAGTATCTACAAGGAGCATCTAGATGGAGCGTATGTTTCAAACATATAGCTTTCGTTCATTATGTCTTTTGAGATATTCCATTGAGTACTACATTCAAAATTTTGAGAAGTTTTTTGGTTTTGGTAGTATGGATGTAAGCTATCCTGGGGGAAAACAGTCTTTCGTCGTTACATATATATTTTTGCTACTGCATGGAAAATATTCCCTTGCAACATATAGCATTCCTAGCTGCAATACTGTGAGTTCTGTATATAGTGTAGGGTCTGGACTGTGAAACTGTTATACTAACGATAGCTCCTCATGTTCAAACCGGTACAAGAAACTTGTAGTTTTTCAGATATGCTTGGGTGCCTGAACATGAACTACAATATTTTGTTTCCAAGTTTGTAGAAATTGGAATTTATCACCTATATAAATGTGACATTATTGTATTGTCCATTAGATTTTACCTGGCATCCACAGACATTATGGTAAGAACAGGTAATTAACTGCACATTTCAATAATTGCATATTTGCCTGCCATATTAGTTGTGTTTAAGAAATATTTTCTTCATCGGAACGCTAAAAATTTGCTTGCATGTGTGCTATTTCTCAGCTGCTCGTACTACTCTAATCATAATCCATAAGAACAATTTTTACATAATCGTTTCATTGATTTATCCAATGGAAACTAAACTTCTTTTCCTCCTTTCTTACACCATTTCAGCTTATTGTTCTGCAAGGTTGTCCATTACTTATGTTACTCCTTTTATTTGGACAGGCGTTCTGGTGGTGAGAAGATCTACTATGTCTTTGACAACCAATTTCCAGTGGCTCTTAAACGGTTGCAATTTGAAAAAAACATCTTACAATGGAAAACGTAAAGAAACTCATAACACAAGCCGATGGATACCAACCACACTTAATAGCTCCAGAGCAAGGATACCGACGTCTAATAGAGTCCTGTCTAGTTAGCATCAAAGGTCCAGCTGAGGCAGCTGTTGACGCGGTATGCTGTGCATATATGTTGATCTGCTCAATAATTCACATTTTAATTAGTTTTCTGCACCATCTCTTGCAGTTATCTAATTATTTCTAATCTGATGTGCCCTGAAATGCTTCAAAATGTATATGTCCAAAAAGTCAAAATCGAATCCACTCTGTAAATATTTCATTCCTAGAACTGTGAACAGTCATACTTTCGAAAATATGACTTATCTCATTTCTGTTTGGGCCCACACCACATTGGCCAGTGTTCTAGTTTTAATTATTGCACCACGAATTTTCTAATTTTCTTGAGTTTGGGATAGCAGGAAGGCAAAACCTTTGTTCTTTGTCAAATCCTTGTATTTTATTATTCACCATTTTTATTTAGTTTTGGATATGATAATCCCCATATTCTCCATCACTTTTCATATATAAATAATCTTGACCGAAATAGTTTAGGTAATCTTGACCGAAATAGTTTAGGTTGTTAGTGTTTACTTATTTAACATTAACATTACCTTTATGGGCATGACTGTTCTCCTTCAGTTCCAAAACATGATAGTTTTTCACATGGGCATTTGGCAGGTCCATGCAATACTCAAGGAGCTAGTTCACAGGGCTGTAAAGGAGACACATGTATGTTTTCTTCTTTCTTGGTCTATTGAACTATTTTTTCAGCACCTACATGGTTTTATAATCTGCTTGTATGGTATACACCTGTGGTGAGCGTATGTACTGAGGTAGGATTTAATGCATCCCTTTGTTTTCCTCTTTTGGAAGGAGTGGGTGAATCGTCGTTCTGATTTGATTTGAGCTATATTTCCTGAGTGTTACAAAAAACTGCTATGAGATATCCATCAGGAATTCAGGGTAGCTTTGATGTATCTATATGCAGGAACCTGCATCTGTATATCATTCATGGATATACTTTAGTGTAGAATATAGCAATAAAAGTAATGGGAAGTGTTACTCAGAATAAGAATATCCTGAATGGCAACTTCACTTAGAATTGAAGTTAAGTTGTTTGACTGCGTTCGTGCAGGAGTTGAAGCAGTTTCCGACTCTTGGTGTGGAAGTGAGCAGTGCAGCTTTTAAAGCATTGGAAAGAATGCGGGAGGAGAGCAAGAAAAATACAATGATGCTTGTTGATATGGAGTGCAGCTATTTGACTGTAGATTTCTTTAGGAAGCTTCCTCAGGATGTTGAGAAGGGAGGAAGTCCAACACACTCCATCTTTGATAGATACAATGATTCGTACCTCAGACGAATTGGTAAGGGCTTCAAAGTTATTTAAGCATTTTCCACTATTGTTAAACAATTTACCGTCGCTTACGAATTATTACATCAAGTTCTCAATGCATGACTCCTAAGAATAATTCTGTGCAACTAATGCTGTTTAATGTTCTTGGAAATAACTTAATTGCATGATTATTTACACAGCATAACATCCAATTTCTCTTGCTATCTTATAGGTAGTAATGTACAGGCATATGTCAACATGGTATGCTCAACCTGGAGGAACTCCATCCCCAAATCTATCGTTTATTGCCAAGTCCGTGAGGCCAAGCGCTCACTACTCGATCACTTCTTTACGGAGTTGGGAGCAAGAGAGGTGAGTTTATTTCTGCACCTTGCATTATGTCAACTTTTTTTCACATGAACATAATGGTTATTTAGTTCTTGTAGCTGAAGTGCTATGTAGCTTGTCTGTGTTCACAGTTCACCGATTCACCCATACATCTAGTACTCTTAACAATTTTTTTTCATATATGCTGTCATAATTTTTTCATATGACATTTGAATACAAGCGTGGCGTCTAGCTAATGTGATGATCGCATTAATACATAGTCTTTGAAATCTCTGTCATTTGCTGTGCAGACCAAGCAGCTTTCTAAGCTTCTTGATGAGGACCCTGAGATCATGGAGCGCAGAGCTAAGCTTGCGAAGAGGTTGGAGCTATATCGGAGCGCCCAAGCAGAAATCGAGGCGGTCGCATGGGCCAAATAGTGTCCTTCGCGCTTCCACATCTTTTACCCGATTTTTCTGGTGGAACCATCTCTGATTTCGCTTCTCTTTTATCTGTTCCTTGGTTCTAGTTCATTGAGTTCAGGAGGTAGTGAACATCAGATGCGCTAGATCTTGTTATCTAGAAGTTAAGTATGTCATAGCGCCTTTATGATCTGCCTGTGTGCTAAAAACACGATTGCCATCTGTTTTTAGCTAGGTCGATTCCGCGGAGCCGAAGTGAAGCAAGTCGATTGCACATTTACCTCGTAGTCGTTTACAACACTGGGCCTGGATGGATACGTAGTGCCAACTACTTAACATAGTGGAAACTGGTGCTGCGGACTTTACCCATCAGTTTAGAAGTTTTAGCTAAGACTAGGTGACACTTGGCACGCCTGCTTGTGCGAGCCAACTGCGCACGACAAAGGGACAAGCAAACCGAGAATAGCTTAGGGCAACTTCAACCAAACTCTCATCTGGATTCCTATCCTTTTTTTCATTTGGACTCCTATCCTTCTTTTAGGGGCTCGGAACTTGAAGACATATGTCCAACCGAAGCCTCATCCGCCCCCTGATGGATGAGGCACTTTTATTCCTCTCTTCTAAACCCCCAGATGTAGGAGTTCTTCATCCTCTCTCCTACTCCTCATTCCTCTCTTGTTACAAGGCTGACAAGTGGGCTCAATAAATGGGACACATGACAATATAGTGTAAAGTAGGAAAGTTTTAGAGCATCGGTTGGAGTATGTTGAGAAGTAGGAGCTTGAATATAAATGAGGGACTCTCATTTCAGGAGATAGGGGGCCAAAATTTGAGGAATAGATTGGAGTTGCCCTTACCCGAGCGACATCCAAACAGAGAAAGCAGTTTCTCAATCAAACTGTACAGTACGATGTGCATTGCTCAGTAGGCCAACCCAACCAAAGTCAAGCGGGCCATGGATGGGATGGCCACAACATTATACGTGAAAGCAAAAAGTCCACATTACCTTAACTTTTCTAAAAGTCTGTTTTTCCTCCTTGAACTCTAGAAACCGGCGTGAACTTTTAAAACGGTTCGTTTTACCTCCCTGACCGGTTATAAGCGGTTTTCAAATGTGGTTTTGTTTTTTTATTTATTTCGGCTGAATCTTTGAAAAATCATAGTAAATCATAGAAAAATCATAAAATAGAAAATCCAATTATATGTTCACTCTGTATATTTAAAGCATATCGTATTATATGTTCGCTGTGTAGATCTACTCATGTGGAGTCCAATAAAATTGGATTTTTTATTTTATGATTTTTCTATGATTTACTATGATTTTTCAAAGATTCCGTCAAAATAAATAAAAAAGAAAAAGATAAAACCGCATTTGAAAACCGCTTATAACCGGTCAGGGAGGTAAAACGAACGGTTTTAAAAGTTTAGGGAGGTGGTTTACCTAGTTTTAGAGTTCAGAGAGAAAAAACAACCTTTCATAAAAGTTGAGGGGGTAATGTGAACTTTTTTTCCCTACGTGAAACGGTGAGCATCCGAGTCCGAGAGGCTCGTGGGATTCGCGCTCCGATCCGACAAGGCCCATATATCGTCTATGGCGTCTGTTCGGTTCGTTTGCTCCTTCAGTGCCGGCGTGCCGTGAGCCCACAACAGTCGCGGTCAGGGAGCCGAGGAGTAAAAGGGACGGCGAGCCGCAGAACCTGAAAAATGGTGCTTGCCCGCCCGCCATCTGCCAACCACCCATACCAGCATACCGCATTGGTTGCTGGGTGGTGCACTGCGCGGGGTTGGGTCGTGGATGCGTGGGGTGTTATAACAATCACTCATGACAAAATACATATATAATCAAAGTATATATACTAACAAATAAATATTTTGTGTTATAATACTAAAGAAACTAAAAACTAGAAAAAATATAAAATATTTTAAAGAAAAAAGGAACAAAATTGATTAGCCCTAGATCTCTAACGCTCGTACAACGATCAGTCTAGTTCTTGGGTTAGAAAAAAGAATCACAATAATAATAGTAAGACTAATCCCAGATAATATAGATGTCATTGGAGATGAATTCAGAAGAGGGTAAACAAGAAAACACTAATTATATTTTACTAGTTAATTAGAGGGTTATTGCAGGAACAAAAGAGACAAAGAAAATAATAGAAAGACTAATTTTTAATTATATAAGATGCCATAAGAGATTAATATGGAAGAGGACAAGAAATCAAAGTACAAATAACATCATTAACTACTTAATCAAAGTATCACATAGCCAACAACTATATATGGTAAGAATTTTTATTATATATTTCTTAATATGAATATCGAGTAAAAAATATGTTTGTGTTGGCCCAGCCCCTCCTTGGCTCCGCCCCTGGGTGGGTCGTGGCTTTTGGTTCCAAATCGCTCAACCCGGTGAATCAACCTGGACCAAACCGTGTATGGAGGACGTGAATAGGTTGGGCCCAAGCGGTTTGAAACCAACAAACCCGGCATTAGTCTTGCAGGCTGCAGCCAATGAAATTTCCCATTTGTCAAGTACGACGAATAGAGAGGGAGCTTTGGGCATGCAAAACTTCAGTAGAACATGGTACCCAACTGAGATAGCGCTTGAAGAAGGTCGAAGATTTTGCATTCGGTAGCGGGCTGGCAGCGGCGGCGCTAGCAGCCGACACTACTATACCAGAGGTTGAAGATGACCTTGATGTTTGTCCGGTTCACTTGGCTAATAAGCCATGACTGAAAGTATTGTTAACTAATTTATTGTGAGAGAAAAATATTATTCGTTGGCTGAAAAAATACGGCTTATAAATCAAGCGAACATGGCAGTTATTGAACTCCCTGATCATTGATATGGCCCACATGCACTTGCTCTTAGAGTCCTAGTCCAGCCGACCGGTTGAGCGGATAACATCCTGTTTAACTCGTCCAACCCACCTAAGGGCGTCCCCAACGGACGGATTGAAATCGCTAGCTAGAAGAAGAGAAAGAAAATTAAAATATTAAAGAGGATAGTATATACGTGTGATAGATGAGAACGGGCCCTAGGGTCAGAGACAGCAAGCTTCTGAGACTCCGTGCGAGCTACCTGCTTGAGAACTCGCTAGCTAGTGCATTTTCTGTGTTCTCTTTCATCCAGGTGGCATAAATAAAATATATTAAACGCTGGCGATTTCAACCCTTGTCGGGGACGTATAAAATATATTAAACGCTGGCGATTTCAACCCTTGTCGGGACGTATAAAATATATTAAACGCTGGCGATTTCAACCCTTGTCGGGGACGTCTAATGGACCCGTCCATCCAATCTAAGGGTCTATGTTTCACTGTTTGTTTTTCAGCTAAGGGCCTGTTTAGTTCTCTCCAAAACACCAAATTTTTCAAGATTTTCCGTCACATCGAATCTTTGGACGTATGCATGAAGCATTAAATATAAATAAAAAATAAAACTAATTATACAGTTTAGACGAAATCCACGAGACAAATCTTTTAAGCCTAATTAGACTATGATTGAACACTAATTGTCAAATAACAATAAAAACGCTACAGTAGCGTTTTGCCAAAAAAATTGGCAACTAAACTGGGCAGACGGCTTCGGTCCTCGTTTTTCAACCAAACAAGTACAACGGCGTACATTTTGTGGAGCTACTGGGGAGCAGAGTTAGGTAGAGCGATACAAATAAAACAGGCTGTGCATAAACCGTGCGTCCGTGCCTAGCGACCGAGACCGGCGTGCGGTTCGTCTCGCGCGCACATCGGCGGATGGCACGTCGTGAGCGAGGGAAGGCCGTTTTTTTTTTTCCAGTTTCCACGAGAAGAAAAGCCGGGGCATACGCGTATCTGCAGAATTACTGTGTATTTGAGCTAAAAAAAAGAATTACTGTGTATTTATATGGAAACACTGACACGGGCGCATTCACGCAGCTCCACTACGTACGCCAATTTCAGGAGGGATTAAGGAAAAGACCTAGCTAACAGCAAGTAGTATAACTTTTTAATGACACAATTTAACGCAATAAATAATCTCCATTCACATTAGAGTCCGTTTGCCGAGGTCACCGGCTAGCAGTGCATTTTGATTCTCCGTGCCGTGCTGCAACAGGTCGAGCCGTGCCCAACCTACTTCATGCTTTTGTACATACCGTCAATGATGCTCTGCGTGAAAAGCGACACAAAAACGCACACGAAGGTCAGCTTCACCAACATCCGTAGTCCAAGCTGAGTTACCTGAAACTGCGCCCATACCTGATAGTGTTTCAGCAGCTGCGGCCGCTTCTTCTTGTACGTCGGGGTGATAAGGTCGCGCTCCATGTCGAACGGTGCAGGGTCCAGATGAACAGCCCTGATGAGCTCGAAGCCTTTGAGCTGTTGCACCAGGATTAAGAGAATGACAATGCGCCAGATCTAGTTGAGCGAGCAGCAATATCATTCTAAATAAATAGACGACGAGGGTTTCGGTTTCGCTCTTATTACCTTCTTTTCTTTCCCCATCTTTGTAAGTTCTCCCAAGACGAACTCTTTCGCTTTAGGGTCTTCGCATATCGTGGCAAAGTCTCCAGTTACCCCGTTCGACTCTGCCCAACGCTCCAGTGCTTGCTTGTTGGGGTTCACAACTGCAACAAGGCTTGACTCGAAGCTGTTGCCGTAGACCCAAATCTGAAGATATACCATACCAATAATGACTTAGACTTAGAAATTAGTGGATAGATTATGGAATTATTTGTAATCATTAGCTGCAGAACACTTGAGTAAGTGTGTAGATGAAGGCTGTTTTGAGCTGTACCGAATCAACACCAGGAGTTTGACCAAAGATGTTCTCCAGATTCTCGACCGCAACGTACTCTCCTTGTGAAAGCTTGAAAATGTTCTTCTTGCGGTCAATGATCTTCATGCTTCCGTCAGACTGCCACTCCCCAATGTCTCCTGCAGTAATAAATAGTAATATTTGACAGTGAACAACCGTTAGACATGGAAAGATATCTAGACTTTTGGAAATTTTCAAAGGTATTTCAGATGGCAAGTTAA